CAGCCGGCGGGGGGGCCGCCGCCACGCTGGGCAGCGCCAGGTTGTGCCTCGACACCGTCTCCTGCAGCGACTTCAGCACCTGCCGGAGAGATGGGCACCGGTCTGGGGGCACTGGGCTAACTGGGAGCCCTGGGCACCCTGCACCAGCCTGTCCTGCCCTGAGGGGTACCCCAGGGCTGTGCCACTGCCGGCAGCTTGCTTTGCTGGAGGGTTTAATTTAGGTGAGGGGTTTGCTGGAGCAGAGTGAGGTTCCCTAGCCCGGGGCACCAGCAGAGCTGGGCAGGGGCTGTGGTTAGCAGTGGCCGTGCTCCCCCTGCACCCAGCCGGGCTTCCCCAGCCTGACATCATGAGGCGGGCAGGCACCTTCTTCTCCAGTGAAGAGAGGAGATGGTTAACTGTAGATATCTTGTTGAGGAGCAGCTCAAGGTCTGGATCGCTGGTCAGGAGACCCTGAGGGGAAGGACAGACATTTTTGGAGCAGCACGATGGCACTGGACCAGTGGATTCGTCCCCACAGGTCTGGGCTGCACCCCGAGACATGGGGGTCCCTGGGGTCCAGCAGGGGAAGCAGCTTTCCCCCCCGCTGCATCCTGGACCGGGTGCAGGAATGAGTCCCTGCTTGTCCCCAGGCCACGGGGAGCCAGATCCCCTCTGCCAGCTGCGGGAACGCTGGCACACACAGCACCCAGGGACCACCGGCAACACCATGGGGTGTGCAACACCTTTGGGTGCCAACAGGCACCAAAACCGCCCCAACCGTCTACCCTGCACACCAGCTGCACCCAGCCACATGCAACAAGGCACCCACAGGCGGCTGGGGGCTGCAGCGGCCAGAGGAGGGCTCACCTGCTCCCTGGCTGGGCTACGAGGGGACACAGGGGGGTCGAACACCCTGGCCAGCGTCTCCAGACCCGCCAGCGTGAAGTCGATCTCACTGCAGAGGAGAGGAGCAGATGAGAGCCAGCACAGGCATCTCCCGAGCCTCGGTGGTGATGCTCAGCCACCACGAAGGGGATGGGGATGACGCAGGTGCCCCCAGGGGCTGGCCACCCTCCCCGGGCCACTCGCCTGTGCAGCGCCCGGCAGGCGGTGACGAGCGCGGTGCTGAGATGGCGCAGTTGTGGGTGCCCGTGGCGCAGCGCCTCCAGATCCAGCTGCAGGTGGTGGTTCAGGTACTCAGCCATGAAGCCCATGAAGTCGCTGGCCGGGCTGAAAAGGTGGGCAGGCATCTTTGGAAAGATCCCCCCTTGGGCATGCCACCATCTCAAGGGAGGGGTGGCCGTGCCCACCCCATCGCCTCTGCCAGCCTGGGGTGGGCAGGGGCGCGTTACCTGCTGTGGACCTGCTCCTGCAGCCTCTGGTGCAGCTGCTGTGAAATGTGGGTCCGGCCGGCGACGGGAGCGCTGAGCCATGTGCCCGCCCCGGCTCCTCCGGCCGGGACCGCGCTCGCCGCGTGCCCGCTGCCTCGTCCGTCCTCCCCATCTGCGGGCAGAGGACAGCCAGCTCAGCGGGACCCCTTCCCCGCTCGCAGCCTGGTGCAGTCCCTGCTGCCCCCTCCCTGGCTCACCCGAGTCCTCGTCGGCCGCCTGCCTGGCCCGGTGCACGGGGTAGAGCAGGGGCGTCACCAGCCCGTTGTTGGGCTGCTGGTAGGCGCCGATCAGGTCAGGGAGGGTGCGGAAGCACTTGGCCTGGATGCCCTGGATGGTCTGGGGAGGCAGAGAGGGTCAAGCACCGTCACGGCCCCCCCTCCGCCAGCTCCGTGCACCAGGGCAGCCCCCCGCCGGGCTGCAGACCAGCCTGCCATGTTGAGCGGGCCTGTCCCCCAAAATGTGCCCGTGGTGAGCTGTAAGTGCCAGCTGGATTCCAGCCCCATGGGAGCCCACCCCAGCCCCTGGCAGGGCAGCAGAGCAAGGAGAGGAGTGTGGAGACATCTGCCTCGGGCAGCAGACAGGGATGTTTCCTAGGGACCCTCGGGATGCTCTTTTTAGGGTGTTAGAAGGGGTGGCTGCAGAGAGCTGGGTACCAGGAGAAACTGTGAAGTGACACCAAAGAGGGGAAGTGAGGCTGAGCCAGCAGACATCATGGGGACAGACATCAGGGGGATCAGGCCTGCGTGGCCAGGCTGGGGCAGGGGACAGTGGCAGGAAGGGGACAAGCGTTCTGCTGCGTCGCAGTGGGCAGGCTGGCAGCAGCTGTGAGGCCAGCGGGGAGGCAGCTTTCCCAGGCGGCCCTGTGCCAAAGGGGCGGCTGCGAAGCCCTCGCATCCTGCCGTGCTGGGCGTCGCAGGCAGCTCATGCAAAAAGCAAACCGCACCGCTCGCTCGCAGCGCTGGTATGCTGGTGAGGGCAAGCTGACGCCGCCTCTCCGGGCGCTGCACGGGGGCTGGCGGGGGAGGCGAGCACCCTGGCCCCTTCACACCTGCATCCTGCCCGCGCCCCAGCTCGCAGTTGGTGCCTCCCGTGGCACGGCACCTGGAGGCGTTAGCCAGGGCAGGGAGCATGTCCCGGCGGCACCCTGCCTCTGGGCAGCCACTGCTGCACCCACCTGGACGGAGAGCAGCCCCTCGTCATCAGGGAGGATGCGGTAGGTGTGGACGTGCCGCTGGAACCTGGGAGAGAGCAGATGAGGGTCCCCCATCACACCCCCCACGACACCATGAGCTCGTGGCAGTGCTGGGGGTGCCTGGCACCCAGCCCCGATGCAAATGCCCTGTCTGCTCCGCAGAGAGAGGAACTGAGCTCTCATTTCTGGAAATAAAAGCATCATGCTCAGCTCTGGGTCCGTACCCGTCTGCAGGGGAGGATGCGCAGCATCCCCCTGCCTCCAAACAGCACCCTGCCTGCAGCGGGCATGGCCACGGCACAGCCACGGCATGCCGGGGGCTCAGCCACGTCTCTGGCAGCATTTGCTGGGGCACCTACGGACCCGTGGCTCTGCGTGGCAGTGAGGGATTTGGCCAGAGCCTGGCGCCATGTCGTACTCACTCCGAGACCACTGCACATCCCTGCCTGTGCCGCCGTCCCGTCTGGGATCGGCCTGACCTCTGACTCGGTACCGGGATGCTGGCAGAGCCGGGGCAGCTGCTGGCTGAACCCCCGTCGTTCCCCGCAGCCCCCGCACCCCTCAGCACCATGTGTTTCCAATTTGCCCCCGCGCTCCGGGCCAGGCCAGCCATAGCAAAGGGGGTGGCATCCTGCCAAACCCACCGAGGCACCGCCCCGCGCTCCCCGCTGCAGACGTGTCGCTCGGCTGCAGGAAGGGTGCAGGCAGCAGGAAGGGTGCAGGCAGCCCCAGCAGCAATGCTCTCAGGGGCTCTAAGCCTGGTCCCGTGTGTGGAGATGGTGGGGGGCCCCATGGGCAGCGGGGAATGCAGCCCCGAAGCCCCGGCATCTGAGATGTTAACAGCGGGCGTCGCGGTCCGGATGCAGCCGCGCTGGGGGTTGGACGGAGAGGGGATGTTTGTTTTTGCAGAGGGAGGGCGATGCGAGTCAGCCGCTCCCGCGCACGGGGCCAGGATGGCGGGCAGCCCGAAAGGGCTTGGCATGCCCTGGATTTTAAGTTCTCCCTTCTGCAGCCCTGGTGCTGAGCAGGGCTGCTGGCCCAGGCTTCTGCCTGCTTCCAAGGACATGGGGTTTTCCCCTGGTCCGACTCGGGGATCACCCAAAAACCCCCGTGCCAGAGAGCTGGCACCCTGCATGCCCCGCCAGCATCCCTGCCGAAGGCTTTTCCACAAGGTTGTGGCAGTGCCAGCCCAAGGGAAAGTGCCGGGATTGCTGTGCCTGGAGCCCAGAGTGGGGAGAGGGACAGAGAGACCCTGGCAAGGGACAAGAGAGAGAAGCCGCGAGCAGAAGCCAGGCAGGTGACTCACAGGAGGCAGAGGGCATATGCCCCCGAGACCGACTCGCTGTCCCGCACCAGGAAGCAGCCGTCCCGTCCAGCCTTGGCCAGCAGCTCCTCCGCCACCACCCGGCTGATATCCCGGTGGTACCAGCTTGCTGCTGCCATCCTCCAAAATGGTGGGACACCGGCTGCGCTGTGTCCCCGTCCCAGCCCTGCATCGGGGCTCAGCGGTGGATGCTGGCCATCGGCTGGCCCATGGAGTCGGTTGGGGAAGGCGAAGGTGGGGGTGCTGTGGGGGGACCAGCCCCCTGGTACCCAAGCGAGCTGGTGGCTGGAGATCCCAGCGGGTGATGTGCAGCCACCGAGGTGATGCTCATGGGGACGGGGTGCCCCGCGGCCAGACAGCGTGGCAGGAGCAGGACTGGGGGGGCGGCTGGGGGAGGCTGGGGGTCCAGACGCTCCTCATCGCAGGGGGCTCCAGCCTGCGGGGTGCACAGGGGCAGAGAGGGGCAGATCAGCCAACAGATCTTTCCCGCGGGGGAAATCACCCCGTGCTGCCGCCCCAGCCCCGGGGCCACCATCCTGCCCCGGTGCATGGCGAGGACAGGCCATGCTGGCGTCCCAGCGGCACACAGAGGCCCAGACCTCACCCAACACACTCACCGTCCCTCGCAGACACGGTGTGGGGCTCCTGCAGCTCTTGTTGGGTGCTGGGGGCAGCGAGCTGAGCTTTTGGGGTGCAGCCAAGCAGGAGCGGAACCGCGATGCTGCACCAGCCGCTCTCGGCTTCCTCCCGCGGGGCACGCCGGCAGCCCTGCCTGGCACACGCTGCCCGTCGGGGCGGCGGCGTGGGGTCAGGCAGCACCCGCCCTGGTGCCCCCACTCCCTGGCCCCACCGGCCGGGCCCACCCGCTTGGTGCCCTGTGCTGCTCGCTCGGCACCGCGGCGGCTGCCGTGCTCTTCCTCCTTCTCTACGCTCCGCTCTCCCCGCCGCCAGGACCAGCCTCCTCGCTCCTCCTCCCGCTCCAGCCCCGCTACGAGGAGAAGCCTGCAGCCACGCAGGGCTGAGCATGGCAGGGTGCAGGCAGGGGCAGTTCTGGAGCAGGGGCTCTGCCTCCACCCCGCTCCCCACTGCCCGGTTTCCCCAGGGGCGAGGGACGATGGCGGGGCAGAGCCTCACCCCTCGGGCAGGACCCCAGGAGAGGGAACCACCAGCAGTGTGGAATGGCAGCAAGCCCCTGAAATGTGTTTGGGGTGGTGGGCAGGCGGGCAGCTTGTGGGCAGCAACTGAGCTGCCTGCTCCCAGGGAGCTTGCTGCCCACACTGGGGCTGAGCTTTGCTTTCCGCTGCCGGCCACACGGAGACGGAGATGCTGCAGGAATCGGGTGGCTGAGCAAGCCGGGCGCCCCTAATCACATTCCTGTCACCCCATCTGTGGGTGCCCTGCCTCCGGGCAGGAGGAAAGCGGGGTTCAGGGGCTCCTGGGAGGGGGTCGGGAAGGTGGGAGGCTTTTCCCGGCTGCAGACAGCACTAGTTCCCACAGCTCCCAGGCGCAGACCCAGAGGTTTTGCTCCTTGTGGCAAGCAGCGAGCGGGCCGTGAACATGCCAGTGGCCGCCTGGGCAAGCAGCTGGCTCGAGCTGCACTAGGGTGATTAGCACCAATTAATTACAGATGAGTAGCAGCCACCGTCTGCTGCGAGGGTGCCCGGGAAAACCAGGGGCTGCTCCGGGGGGAGACAAGACAGTGGATTCCTGCCGGAGGAGGATGAGGATGGAATGCTATACTGAGCCGTGCTCCTGGCTGTCTGCCGCCCTTGGCATCACAAGCCGTGCCCTGCAGCCATAAGCCCAATGCGAAGGGACCGACCCCACCACCGCCTGCCCCAGCCCGCTGGCAGGGACGTGCCAAAAGCCCCTGCCGAGGCTTCCTCCTGGGCTCCTGGCCTCGAGAGGAACCTGTGGCCAGCGCCACCGAGAAGTCAGGCAACCCTCTCGATTTTGGGCTGGCAGCTCTGGGCCACATGGCAGCAGTTGCATCTCTCACCAGCGCCCGCCATGGAGACACGCAGCGATGGCGGGTCTGTGTGGGGACGGTGGCTGGAGACCCCTGTCCGGCTGGAGACCCCCGTCCTGCCAGAGACCCGCTCCTGCCGGCGCTGCTCCCTCCTGTTACTTAACAGCATGGCAATAATTGCCCACAGCCACGGAGGTGCCTAGCTTCGGATTAATGCCGTCTGCGCTGCTTAATCCAGATCAGGGGAGGAAGACCTGGAGCTCTCAGGAGCTTTGAGAAATCAGCAGCACCGGCTGCAGGCATTTACGTAAGGTGGCTGCGGCGCGCAGTGCCAGAGACCAAGCCGGGACATTGCTAGATGCACCAGCACCTGGGGAGCTCTGCCAGCACCTGGGAACATTGTATTTTGGAAGGCAATGTGGGTTCAGCGGTGCCAGCTTGCTGGGTGGCTCCGGCTCCACCCAGGCTCCCTTCGGGGGGCAGACCCTGTGGGCCAGGGCACCAAAGCGGGAGGACGGGGGAAGCCCCGTGGCTGCTCCCCGGGGAGGCAGGACACTGCAGGGCACCATCCATCATCCATCGGGAGCCGGGGATGAAGCCGGACCCCCGCGCACTCCACCAGCCCCACGTCCGCCGGCGTCCTGCCCCACTGGAAGGGGCTGATGGAGCTGTGCTTCATGGGCCTGGAGGGATGGGTGGGACGAGGCAGATGAGACGAGCCTTTGACCGTTTATTAAACAGGAAAAAGGAAGAAGCCCTCTCTCATTTTCCTATTATTTTTAACACAGCGCTGCATCCCCCAGCTTCCTTCCCCGGTGCTTGGTTCGGAGCACGGTGCGAGCGCAGGAAGGGATGTGGTCTGTCCGTCTCACCACTGTTTTGGGGGGGGAAGTATCTGCCCCCCAACCCGGGCAAGGTCTCCCTGGCTGAATCCACCCAGTCAGGATTAAAGCAAGCTGAAGCCACCCATAATGAAATCTGCTCTCCATCCTCGCCACGTTCTGCAGACCCTACAGCCATGGCCCTTGTGAACCGCACCAGTCTCAGAGGCCTTATTAAGAGCTGAACGAAGAACTGCAAACAGAGAGCTCGGGATTAGGTGGGCAGCGGGCGCCCAGGTGGGGCTGCCTCCTCCTCCTCCTCTTCCACCCGCCAGCGGGAAGGTCACAGTTCACGTGTCCCCCCAACCTTGGCAGAAATAGCGCCCGCTAATCTGCAAACTAAGCAGCTCTCCTGTGTGCAATTAAAGAGATCACAAGTCCCGGCCCTGGGCAACGTGTGCTGACAGCTAAAGCCCTGGGCAGCGGGGCTGGCAGGGCTGGTGTGCCATGGTGGCTCGTGGTGGCTCCCAGTGGCTCCCAGTGGCCCATGGGGCCAGGGCACAGGTGGGCTGCGTTTGGGAGGGGCTGGTACCCAGGTGCTGAAGGTCGTTGAGCTGGTTCAGGGTGCTGGGAGGAGGCTGCTGGCAGCTCTGGGATGGAGGCACAGCAGTGAGCAGGCACATCCCAACCTCGGTGTTCAGCTCTGGGGGCTGAGCCAGAACCAAGTGCGTGCTCAAAGCAAAGGGTCTGGCCAAGCAAGCAAGGGCTTGAGGGATGCTGGAGGTGAGGAAGATGAGTGGGGCCTTGCTGGAGCAGTCTGCAGGCTGCCCTGGGTTGTCCCGGGGGTCTGTGCCCTGTCCTTAGGGCCAACCCGGGGGCAGCACCCACGCGAGCATCCTGCAGCCGCCCCTGCGGGAGGGGGATCCTGCGCGCCGGCAGCGGCTGGGGGGGGGCGGGAGGGGGGGGGGGCGCCGGCAGCGGCTGAGGAGGGACGGTAGCGGGGAGCGCTTCTCTCCCAGCCAGCCGTAAGGCAAATCCACTCTGCGCTTTCAATAGTTTTCTATTTGCAGCAGCAAACCTTGAATTAATGATGTGCTAATCGGGTCAGGCGAGGCCAGCCCACGGCGTTATGAAATGATGCGGGGCTGAGCAGATTGCCCAGCGGTGCTGGGGGACGGTGGCAGGTCTGTGTCCCACCACCGAGGGGTGGCCAGCCCGTCCCCGCTGCGTCAGGGGGAGCGAAGCCTGGTGTGGGAGCTGCCGCTGCAGCCCCGAGCCTTGCCTGTGCCTTCGCCCCATCATCTTGTACATCAGCGTCCCTGTGGCAAGGGTGTCCCATGGGCCCTGGACCACAGCAGGTCACCTCTAGGTGACCAGCCAGACGGGCACGTTGGCCGTGCAAGGAGCTGCCTGCGCCTTCCGTCCATCTGTCAGCCATTCAGCAAAGTGCGTAAGGGAGGGATAAAAACGGGCAGGTCCCTCCCTCCCCTCTGCCGTCTCCATCCACCCTCGTGCCCAGGGCTGGCCCAGCTCCACTTGCCATGGGAGCAGCTGTAGAGAGCCCCCGTGGGAATCTGCGCCCCTGCCCGTGCCCTGCCTGCACCCCTGCCCACTGGGAGCAGAGCTTCCACCTCAATTACCATCACCTTGCTCCTAAGCCTGCTTTGCCAATCTCCGTAAGCTGCTTTCTCAGGGCTCCAGCAGCAGCCGTGATTATAGCCCACTCTTATTCATGAAGCGTCTCCCCAATTAATAAATTAATAGGATTCTTCCCGAAAGTACCTCTCCCACGGTGCAAACACACACACGCACCCCCCCCATCTCCAGCCAAAGCCGAGAGGGTGAGATCAGATGCCAGGGGAGGGACCGTGGTGAGGATATAAGAAGCTGGAGGACTGGGAGCAGCCCATAGCGACTGGGTGGCAGTGGGACGTGTTGGGAGAGGAAGAGGAGAGCGTCTGTCTGTCCATCCACCCGTCAGGTGAGTGCTGCCTGCTCTGCTGCCTGGGGCCTGCCGGTGCTTTGGACCACGGATTCTGCTGTTTCGTAAAACACTTGGGGGCAGGGACATTGGTGGCTGGAAGGGGAAAAACGTGGCCAAAAGGATTTCAGCGTGGCCGAGCCAGAGGGCACAGGTGGAGGGGCCAGGCAGCAGCATGGGAGAGCTCAGCCAAGCCAGGAGGGGTCCGGGTCCCCTCCCCGGGGCTTGGGAGATGCAGAGGACTTCAGCTCTTCTCTCCTCCACCTTTCATTGCCTCATCCCCAATTCCCGGGCTCTGGAGAGGGCTGAGCCCGCGGCACTGTTCCCTCCACACCGTCTCTTGCTGCT